TGCAGAAAACATTCAAGAGTGATGCTTTATTCTCCTGGACAGCAATTCTACAAACTTTTAATTGATTGACGGTACTATTGCAACAAAATGTGTTATTCAACAAATTGTTTTACGAGACTAATTGTGTAGCTCATAAGATAGAACAGCAAAGCAGAGTCCTCGCATTGATGCAACTTGTGAACTCTGCTATGCTGCGTTGGGGGAGTCAAGGGGACATCTTTGCATTGTATAGAGATCTTGCCTGGCTTTCATATCAGAAGGCATTGTTAAGGCCGAAGTTCAAAAGGGGCAAAAGCATTCCACGCTTAATTGTTGAAAATGGCATGGATTACTTTTGACCATATGACTTGAGAGTTTGAAGAGGCAAACAGGTTAGTTTTTGTCTCTTAGGACTAATGCGGAAGCGCAATCTAACGATACGATCCGAGTAAGAAATAAATTATAAAATGAAATCCGACCACAACGGATTTACGTGGTTTGGTAGTGTCCTTATTCCACGGGCAGAGGTCGACAAAATGGTTTTTCTGTAATCAAGCAAGAGAAGATTACAATTGTTTGAAACACTTGCATCAACTATTGTTCAATCCTTGATAACAACTGAACCTACAAGAACCAATGACAAACTAGGAGTATCTCATGCTCTCAACTCTCTTGAGCAAGGGATGGACTAAATTGGCAGTAGCATATGTTGCACGTCAGCGCCCGTGGAGTAAGAAAAAATGTGGGGAAATTACCAAAAAAAGTATTAAACTTATTGCAATTGTGCCAATTCAATCCTAAACATTTTAATTTGGCCAATTTAGTCTCAAACCTTTTGACAATTTGCCAATTCATTCTATCTAGCCAATTTTAGCTGAAAAATTGACAACGTTGACACCAGTCATCGTACGTGATGCAAATGTGGACAACTTTCATAATTTTTTAAAATTTTATGAATTATTATTATTTTTCTATTTTTTTCCTTCTTATTTTCCTCTTTTCAATTGTGGTCGGCGACCTCAACCTTGCCAGAGGCCACGAGGGCGAGCCTCGCCAACCCGGCTGCTAGCGAGGTCAACTTTGCCCATGTCACGACCTACCTCTTGAGGGCCGAACTCGATGAAGCGGGTTTAGAGGTAAGTATTCATAAAACGGTCTGTATGGCATATCATAACAGACGGCTTACCGAAACGTCAATCTTTTGGTCATCCATACGGTCCATTGATCATGAATGTGGATTTTCCCTAAATTCATACTTCGCGTGACAACGGATCGACTTTATCTTTTTTAGGAGTTGCCACTAGCTAGGTCGGGAGTCGGCTAGAGTACCCAATCGAAACGCTGGAGTTTCGTTTTGGTTTCTATGAAAACCAGAGATCATGGGTTCGGTTTATCCTTTCAAAATTTATTTTATGCAATTAAACCCGATTTACGCTTCGGAGACTAAATCGCAAAGAATTTTTGCCCTATTAGCCAATTTGTGAGCCAAGTTAGAATAATCTAGTCAAACCCGGTCGATTAAGCTTGGCCCAATTCATTCCCGATGTCCAATTGGTTTAGTTTGTCCAATTTTCAACATGGGTAATGCCAATTCCATTTCAATTGACTTGTTTTACACAAAATTGGGGATTTTCATCAATTGGTACAATTTGTGGAATTTTTATCCCTAATTGGCAAAAATTAATTCTAATTAAACCTAATTAATTCTAAGAATGATCAATTGGTTCAATTAGATAAGCTTGAAACCTTTCAATATGCTCAAATTGAGGTTACCCTCAAATTTTGGCATTTCCGCATTTATTTCACGGTCATGTCCTCGCACCTTTTTTTTTCTCCTATTGACTTGGTAATCGGAATCACTAGAATCACCTCCAATGTTGTTAGATTCATCATTAGAGTTTTGAGGAGGATATGTACTGTCAAGGCGTGGTCAATTAATAGAAAGTATTGGTGGCGGCTCTTGCCTTGCCTGATTCCCCAGGAGGTTGAAGATTCTTCAATGTCGTTAGATTCATCATCAGAGTTTTGAGGATGATTTGGATCGTCATGGCATGGTCGATTAATATGAGATATTGGTGGCGTCTCTTGCCTCGCCTGATTCTCTAGGAGGTTGACGACTCGCTCCATTTGTTGTTGGAGATCCGTTATGGCACAGTCACGCCTTCCATTGTGTGTTTGCTCCGAAGTTAAGTCTCTTGGAACCTAACCGACCATTTTTATTTATGAGAGTATGAGATAGGATGGCAAATGGGTAACAAAAGGAATCACTCAAAACGTGTTCAACCTTGAACTCTGATACCAAGTTGATACATATGTAGGGTGGGGAATGTGTTTTGAGTGATAATGGATAGATTACGATCACCACTAAGGTATTAAGCACGTGCCACCAACTAAGGATAAAGATCGGGATAGACGATATTCACCACCACCAATGCTTAGAGGATAAGCTTCCTGCCAAGAATAAAAGATTTTGGGATAAAAAAAAGTTCACCACCAAGGCCGAAAGGAAAATAACCAGTCAGGAATAAAGGACTTCTTGATTTATTACCAAGGATAAAGAACTTGGATAGAATTTCGCTCTCTTGAGAAAAATCTCATATATTCACCAAATTTAAGTCTTCTGTCATACAACTGATATTGCAACTCTATTTATAGAGTGATTTTAATAACAAAAGAAAAGACTTCTGAAATCTTAAAAACTGAAATGACTCTTAGAGTATTCACATAATAAAGACTCTTAAAAGCAACATCGAAATAAAGACTCTTAAAACTATGAATTAAGACACTTAATAATTTGGACTAAATGTATTTAACTAAAATTAGAAAAATTCAAACTTGACTTGATCCTCCAAATTTGCGCACCAGCCTTGGAAGCCAAATAGTCTCCTTAGAAGGTGAACAAACAGCAATGGAAATCAATTAGAATACCTCCGGTTGCTAGGTAGTCAAATTAAAGCCTCGAATTAGAAACAAAATAAAAATAAAATTAAAGCCTCGAAGACGACAACAAATCTTGAAAATTGATAACTATACTGCGTAATTGACAACTTGACCCTCGGGCCCATCTAATTAAGTCGTAGCGAAGTCAGCTTTTGCCTACATGAATAGCGAATGAGTTGGTCCGATCAATGAAACACGAGTTGAGCTCAAAAGAAATGGTTAGCATAAGCCTCAATATGTATTAAATTGTAAGTTTCTTTTGGTTAGTTGTTTAAACAGCCATTTCCTTTCACATTAGGATAACGATGGAGGACCAAAAACAAAGATAGATAACACTATTGTTATAGTAATTAAATATTAAATAACGTATTCATCTAATAATTTAGGCTTTTACAACAATTGAGTTCTATCAAAATCTCATAATTATTGTGGCAAATATTTTTCAACTTTTCGTAGTGGGGACGTTCTTTCCCTGCTCAGTCAAACTCGATCGATATAGAAAATTGAGAATACATGGCCGCCCGTCTTCAGCTCACGTTAATCACGGCGAACGAGGGTCTAGGAGAAAGAACATCATAATAGCAACATGGTCTATTGCTGTTCAGTGAACTCCACTATCAATAAAGACAGCCCATACAAATGGACAAGAAAAAATGTATACTATTAATATAAAATTACGGTCAAATATTCAACAGCCTCAGGTTGAAACCTCTACATCTTCGTGCCGCTTACGTTGGGTCAAGCCCGCTTTTTCCTAGTACCTAGTCTAAAAAATTTCTGGCGATAGAGTTCCCCTAGATTCAAAGAGCTTAGAGTAGTGATTATTTCGTGGTTGAGTTATCTTTTTAATTTTGAAAAATAACATAAATGCTCTCTGAATTTTTTTTTAAAGTATAATATGGTCCTTGAATTTTTAATTTATTCAATATAATTTTTGAATTTTAGCTTAATATATAATGTCATCAATGAATTTTCAATTTGTTCAATATGGTCATTGAACTTTTAATACATATTTAGCCTAGTCTCTATATTGTACAAAAATATTCAATATTATTCCTAAATTTAAATTAATGAAAAGACAATATTGAATATTTTTGTACAATCTAGAGACTAGGCTAAACATGTATCAAAATTTTAGGAACTACATTTATGGACAATTCCTCAATATCTTGCTCATTCGCAACAAAATAATTTCTTTGTGCGGTGGTAAAAAAAATATAACAACTTCATCAGTCGATGCCGCCACCACCACCTCCGCCCGACTCCTCGAATTTTTTAACTTTTTTTCCACGCTATTTTGCTTCAACATTAGCGTTCATTGTCTCCATGCCACAGCCCATGTGTCATAAAAATTATGAAAAAGAGCCGCATCGAATTCTTCCGTCGCTCGACCGAGCTAATGGAATTACTTAATTTGCTATTTCGTGCAAATTTCAAAAATTAATTGCGCTTTGTTTAAAAACTTCTAAACTTATTATCCTTTCGAAATTTTAGGACTTCTGGCGTTTGTCAACATAAAAAATCATTGCGGGCGGACGAGAAGAGGCAAAATGATGCCAGAAGCGGTTCTTGGTTTACGTGCGGAGTTCAATAATTGTGCAAAACGTACAAAATTACTCGAGTGCATCGACAGAATATTTTGACTTTTTCGGCTAATGATTCGATCCAAAATCAATTTTTTGGGCACATGAAGAACTTGTATTCTCAAATCATCTTGGTGGGATTTGCAGTCACAGTGGAAATTCCATTTTCCCCATGATTAGCATCTTCCTTATAAATAATAAAAATAACAAAATCTCATAATTTTTTATTAATTCATTTCATATTTTCTTTTTTATATGATAAATTTTCACATTTAGATTATGTGTTGGATGTACTGATACCTTATCACATTCGTCTGGAAATCTTGATCGAAACAGTAGGAGCAAGATTTTCTAGGCATGTGTACTTTAAGTCCACCTACTCCCATCAAACCTGCGAATACAAACAAATTTATTAATATATTTTACATATGTATATACTCATTGGTTGATATTTAAATTGTGGGGGGGGTGGTTTGGTACATAAAACACTATGAATCTTGGAGAACTTCCAATTCATATCAGAAGAACAATATCAAGAACCGATCCTGTCATATGGAGCATCGCTCAGGCCCTCTCAATCTTTGTCATGTCCTCACAAAATCAATCATCATCAACCGCACGCACATGCTCGTTCATGCCACAGCTCTATCCACTCTTATCTACTATAGAGCTTCATTTTTCTTCAATGAAAACAACTCGAGAGTCAAATCCACAACTCTAGCATGGCTCATCATTTTTCTTGCCGAGCTAGTGCTATCTTTCCAATGGCTCCTCAACCAAGCCTTCCAGTGGCGGCCCATCTCGCGGGCTGCCTTCCCCGAGCGGCTGCCGGAGGACGGGAAGCTCCCGGACATCGACGTGTTCGTGTGCACGGCGGACCCAGACAAGGAGCCGACTGTGGATGTGATGAACACGGTGGTATCGGCGATGGCGCTCGACTATCCCCCAGAGAAGCTCCATGTGTATCTCTCGGACGACGCCGGCTCGCCGCTGACGTTGCACGGGATGAGGGAGGCTTACGGTTTCGCGAGATGGTGGCTGCCCTTCTGTAAGAGGTATGGAATAGAGACGAGGTGTCCAAAGGCATATTTTAGGGAAGAAGAGGATGATGAGGGGATTGGTATGAGCTCTGAGAATGAGTTTGGCTCGGAGAAGAAGAAAGTCAAGGTACGCTTCCCCTTTCGGTGATCTTATGTCCATCCGCCTGCCCTTCCTTTTTCTCTTAAAATGTTGGCTTGCTATATTTGTCTCGCTTAAGTGTCTTTGTCATAAAATTAGTCGTCGGATCGTATTTTAATGGCTTCAATTTTGAGAGAGAAGGGATTACTTATTCAATTTCATGTTGAAGATTGGTGCGACGTGATGGGCACAACTATTTGCTCCCGACAATTTGATCAATGTAAAGAGTGTCAGAAAAGTTTTAAAATTATTGCATTGATGCCAAATTAGTCGCAAATTTTGTAGTGCCAATTTAGTTCTAAACATTTTGACCTAAAATCAATTCGGTCCTTTCGGATAATTTTAGCTTGATATTGTTGACGTGAATGCCAGCCGGCCTACATAGCATAGTTGGTGCTGACGAGGATATTTTTTAATAATTTTCAATTTTTTTGTTTTTTGTTTTTTTATTTTTCTTTCTATTTTTCCTCCTCTTTTCTCCTGTGGCTAGCATGGCCATGGCCGGTGAGGGCTGCCCTCGCCTGAGCGACCGGCCAGAGGTGAGGGCTAGCGAGGCTCGAGCCCTTGCCAAATCCGGCAAGGTTGCGACCTTTGACCTTGTGGCCTTTAGCGAGGGCTCAACCCTTGCCTAGCCATGGAAGGCTTGCCGGCCCTCGCCTCTGGTCGGTTGCTGAGGCCCAGCGACTAGCTAGAGAGGAAGAAGGAAGGGAAGGAAAAAAAAAAAGAAAAAGAAAAAGAAAGAAAAGAAAAATGAATGAATAAATAAAAAATTTCGAAAAAAAAATTAAAATATTATTAAAAGTTGTCTACGTCAGCGCCGATCGTGCCACGTAGGCCAGCTGACGTCCACTTCAGTAATATCTGGCCAAAATTAGTCGGAATGACTGAATTGGCACCATTAAAAGATTTATGATTAAATTGGTATAAATACAATAGGTTTATGACTTTTCCAATACTTTTTCCTTTGATAAGCCATACATTGTTTTATAGATTTAGATTATAGCATGTTATACAGCGTTATTGTTTACGGCGAAGGAATGCAATAATAGGGATGGGCACGAAGAACCGAAAATCCGTGCCTTGCCGACCGGTTAAATATTGGCTACGTACGTGGGCATTCACCTTAGGCGTAGATGGAGATTGGATTATAATTTTGAAGTTCGTTTTTCTATGCAACCGCCAATTCACTATCCACCATGGGGGTACACTTAGGCAATGTTTAACTCACGTCATAGTCCGGCATCTTCGATAGCCACATCAGCTGGAATGGGTCGGATTTTATCTAGTAGAGACTAGATTAGACATTTTGTATAAATTGAAAGACTTGATTGAAAATTGAAATTGCCGTAGCTCTTATTAGAAAAATAGTGAAAACTTAGAGAAAGAAAGCACAATTTCTCAATTTTTTTTTCTGCATAGTTATTGGTTGTAACTTATGACGCAAGTTGCCAAAGACCGAGGACCATGATAGTAATTAAATTCAATGCATGGACATAATCTTAATGTGATGTAACTTGCTTAGATTGATCTAACTATTTTTCTTCTTTTAGGAGAAGTATGAGTTGTTCAAGGAACGAGTAAATGAGTATCGAAAGAGGCACCGAGGTGACTCTAGCCACACTGGCCGAGACCATCCGCCTACCATCGAGGTAATTCTAAATTTAAAATTGGAATTTGCAATTCCTAAGGCTTTAACTGGTTTAAACAAATTTAAATAAGTGAGCTAAGAATAGGCTCTAGTAAGGAAATTTTCAAAACATATGTCTCGATGAATATAACAAAAATCGATGGATGCAAAGAAAGGAGCTTTCACTCCTACGAGAGCTTTTGTGACCTATTCCATCTTGTTAGGCGGGCACCGCGGATGCTTTCTTTATTTTTAAGGTGTCATTGCCTGCACACCTCACACCCTCAATTCCCTTTTTGTGTTTGTCTTTTCTGAAAAGAGAAAATACATTCTAAAAGCTTTACATCCGATGATTCCGAGATTCGGATGAGAACCGAGATAAAGCCTTCCAAGGACATGTTTAAGTCCCAAGCTAAGAACAGGCTCTGGTAAGAAAATTTTTCAAAACACATGCCTCGATGTATATGACAAAAATCAATGGATGCGACAGGTGGTCGGAGGAAATGTCCCCGATGAAGTTGTGCAAGCACGCCAAGACCCCATGCCTCAGCTTATATACGTCTCAAGAGAAAAGAGACCTGCTCATCACCATCACTTCAAAGCTGGAGCTCTCAACGTTCTTGTACGCCATTTTAAATTTCAAATCCGAATCAAGCATATCTATATTCTTCTTCTATGTACAGCGGATAATAATTCGCTGTCGCTAAACCCGTGCAGCTTCGGGTATCGGGAGTAATAAGCAACTCGCCTTACATTTTGGTGCTGGATTGCGACATGTACTGCAATGGCCCTTCTTCGGCTCGGCAGGCGATGTGTTTCCATTTGGATCCGAGATTATCTCGATCTCTCATGTTGGTTCAATTTCCTCAAAGATTTCATAATATCAGTAACAACGACATCTACGACAGCAAGATCAGAAAGTACTTCTGGGTAAATGAAAAGAATCATATGGAGTTTTTCAATTGCGCATTCACAGATTCCTATCTTATAGAGTGCAAATTTTCTTTTGTTATCTAATGATTTCTGCTCTGTTTCAGACATGCTGGTATGGAATGGATGGATTGAAGGGACCTATTTTATCTGGGACTTGCTTTTACATTAAGAGAGAGTCCTTGTATCGTAAACCCACACAAGAAGGCAAGTAGATCGATCCATATAACTTTTTTGTTTTCAAGAAAGTACGGTAGAAAAAGTAAATGCAGTAACGAATTAATTCACTCGTTTTCCTGCGAATCTAGCAGGTTCTGATCTCATGGATTTAAAGAAACTCTTTGGCCATTCAAATGAATTCATCAAATATCTTTGGCGAAAGGAGAAGCCAAGCCAGAACACCATTGCCGGTGGCTCTGCAGCATTAAGGAAAGAAACCCAACTGTTAGCTACCTGTGGCTATGAAAATGGCACAAAATGGGGTCAAGAGGCAAGCGTAATTTAAAGAAAAATTATAATTAGTCCTTGTTATTTGCTATAAATGACCACATTTGTTTTTTTATTTGAGTTTTGTTGACATGATCTCAGGTGGGCTTCATGTACTATTCTGTGGTAGAAGACTATTTCACAGGCTTGACCTTACACTGCAAAGGCTGGACTTCAGTGTATTATAACCCATCAAAGCCGCAATTTTTAGGCACCGCGACAACAAATTTGAATGACCTGTTGATTCAAGGCACGAGATGGGGTTCCGGGTTGTCAAAAGTCGGTGTCTCAAGATTTTGTCCTCTGATCTATGGCTCATTGAGGATGTCCATTCTTCAGAGCATGTGCTATGCTGAACTTGCATTTTTTCCCTTCTATTTCTTGCCAATTTGCTGCTTTGCAACTATTCCTCAGGTCTGTCTAGTAAATGGCATCTCTATATACCCGGAGGTAAGTTGACTCGTGGCTCTACAACATAACATTCCTATTTGCCTTCATCGTATAAAATATGCTTCAATTTTGTTTCTCGATTTATTTGTTTGAAAGACTTAATCAATGATTTCTTCATTATCAGGTTTCAAGTTCATATATCATGCTATTTGCCTTCATCTTCCTATCATCACTTTTGAAGCATCTCTATGAAGTTGTCGCAAGTGGCCATTCAGTCCAAACATTCTTGAACGAACAACGAATCTGGATGATCAAGTCAACAACGTGTCATGTATATGGAACCATAGACGCAATTATGACACAAATCGGCATGAGAAGAGCTAGCTTCTTGCCTACAAATAAGGTCGATGATGATGAGCAATCCAAGAGATACGAGATGGGGATATTCGATTTTCAAACGTCAATAATGTTCCTGGCTCCGATGGTGACCCTAGTGATATTGAACATGGCTTCATTCATCATGGGAGTCGCTAGAGTTCTTACTTTGGGAGGCTGCGATGAACTGTTTATGCAGATTGCTCTATCATTTTTCGTCTTAGTGATGAGCTACCCTGTGTTTGAAGGGATGGTATTGAGGAAGGACAAAGGACGCATTCCACGATCAGTCACTATACTGTCAGCCTTTCTTTCCTTGGTATTGTTATTGCTAGGTTCAAGTTTTCTCATGTAATAATCAATGTTGTGCATAGGAAGTTATAAGTCATTTCATATCAATTCCTCAATTATCATAATTGTAGTACATTCTGCACAATATATTCAGAAGTGATGCTTGATTATCAGGGACTACAATTGTGTAAGCTTTAAATTGACTTTCGTGACAATTGCAGCAAGATGAGTTGTTCAACAAATTGATATACGATTGCTTGGTTTGTAGTTCAAAAGATAGAGTAGCAAAATGGAGTCCTCGTGTTGATGCAACTTGCAAATTATGCAATGCTTCGTTGGATGAGTCAAGGGAACATCCGTTCTTTGGGTAGAGATCTTTCCTGGCTTTCATATCAGTAGGCATCGTCAAGGCCGAAGCTCAAAGTTGAACAGGCTATTTGACAATTAAGTGGCAAAAGCATTCCATGCTTAATCGTTCAAAATGGCAGGGATTACTTTTGACTATATGACTTAGAGAGAGTTTGCAGAGCCTAATAGTTTAAACTTTTTTTATCATCCTAGCAATTCCTCACCCTATTCCCTTGTCGGGTAGGCACAAACCATTAGAATCGGTATGTTCACATGAACAAGCAGTAGAGGAATTCCTAACAGACGAAGAAGCATAAGACAGGGTGCTAAGTCAGAAAAGCGACAACTACGATATATGCAGCAATAAGAACATGGAAAAGGATTGAGACCATTTACTATTTCTTGAAGCTCGATCTCTCCCTTCCTTTCTTGCCCAACATCTTCTCTTTGCTTTGGTTGAGCTGTTTCGCTTAATTTATAATCGACTTCCTTTTTTAGTACTCTACCCCTGGGGGAAGTCGAATCCCCCACCCCTGCCTCCTTGAAAGAGAGATGTCCTAAACCACTAGACGACGGGGGCATACTTGTCCAAGCGAGACCAGCCGAGCCAAGGAAAGCAGATCTTAGAGTGTGACGCCTTCGGCATTCAGGGATTGTGGACCAACCATTCCAGGAGTATTTAGCCTTGCAAGGTGGTCCTTCTTGATTCACACAGGATTCCACGTGCCCCCAAGACATTCCGTAGCTGCTTGTGAGCTAGACTTGCTTGTTTGATCCCCGCATCTTCTCCTTGGCAAAGAGAAATTTAACCATTCGACTCTATCTGTGTTTTTTTCGTTTCTCACTACTGCAACTAATGTGGAAGCGCGAACAAACGAAACAATTCGAGCAAGAAAAAAATTGCAAAAATAAAAGCCGAACATTGTTGATTTATGTGGTTTGGCTGCGTGCCTACTCCACGAGCAGAGACCGACGAGATGATTTCACTGTAATAAGCAAAGATTAGAATCGCTCAAACGCTCACACCCAAGTGTTTTCCTAATCTACAGTCCTAGATAACGTCTGAACTCACAAGAATCAATCACAAAAGAGGAATATTATCATGCTCTCAACTCTCTTAGACGGTGGCTCTCGAAAGCACTCCAGAAATCTTGTAAGTTTCTCTACTTAAATAAGTTTGAAATATAGAATTTTAACAAGTCTGAATCGAGGCCCGGCTAAAGCACCGAAGAACATCACCGCTATTGGGCACTGTTTGGGAGCCCGACTAGCTTTGCTGGCGTGCCCAAAACTAGCTGGCAGCATGGCCATTCCTTAGCTGTGCGCTTTCCTGGTGGTCTAGTTCTTCCAGGTGCCAGTCGGCCATTTCCTTGCATATCCAGTCGTTTGCCTCTGTCTCCGGGCCTTTGCAAACACTCCAAGTTCCCGAAAATCATGAGCTTGTGTCCACCAAAAGTCCAACTTTGGCTCAGCAGGCGATGTGTTTCCATTTGGATCTGAGATTATCTCAATCGCTAACATAGGTTCAATTTCCTCAAAGATTTCATAATATCAGTGAGAACGACATCTATGATAGCAAGATCAGATCTTACTTTTGGGTAAGCAAAAAGAATCGTTTGGAGTTTTTTAATGGTGCATTCACAGATTCCTATCATATAGAATGCAAATTTCCTTTGTTATCTATGATTTTTGCTCTGTTTCAGTCATGTTGGTATGGAATGGATGGATTGAAGGGACTTGTTTTATCTGGGACTTGCTTTTACATTAAGAGAGTTCTTGTATCTTAAATCCATACAAGAAGGCAAGGAGATCGATCCTTAATAACGATTTTGTTTTCTAGGAAGCACAGTAGAAAAAATAAACGCAGTAATGAATTAATTCACTCGTTTTCCTGTGAATCTAGCAGGTTCTGATCTCATGGATTTTGAAGAAACTCTTTGTCTATTCGAATGAATTCATCAAATATCTTTGGCGAAAGGAGAAGCCAAGCAAGAACACCATTGCTGGTGACTCTGCAGCATTAAGGAGAGAAACCTAACTGTTAGCTTCTTGTAACTATGAAATGGCACAAAATGGGGTAAAGAGGCAAGTATTGTAGCTAGTAGAGACATTATAATTAGTCCTTGTTCTTTGCTATAAATGACACCATTTCTTTTTTTATTTGACTTTTGGTTGCCATGATCTCGGTGGGCTTCTTGTATTATATTCTGTGGTAGAAGACTACTTCACCGGTTTTACCTTACACTGCAAAGGCTGGACTTCGGTGTATTATAGCCCATCATGGCCGCAAATTTTAGCGACCGCGACAATGAATTTCAATGATCTGTTGATTAAAGGCACAAGATGGAGTGCCAGGTTTTTGCAAGCCGGTGTCTCATGATTTTGTCCTCTGATCTATGGCTCGTTGAGGATGCCCATTCTTCAGAGCATGTGCTACGCTGAACTTGCACTTTTTCCCTTCTATTGTTTGCCAATTTGCTGCTTTGCAACTATTCCTCAGATCTGTTTAGTAAATGGCATCTCTATATACTCTGAGGTAAGTTGTCTCCTAGCTCTAGAACATACCATTCTCATTGCCTTCATTGTATATAATATGCTTCAATTTGTTGCTTGATTTATTTGTTTGAAAGAGCGAATCAATGATTTCTTCATGGTCATGTTTTAAGTTCATATATCATGCTATTTGCCTTCATCTTCCTATCATCACTTTGTTAGCATCTCTATGAAGTAGTAGCAAGTGGCCTTTCAGTCCAAACATTCTTGAACGAACCGCGAATCTGGATGATCAAGTCAACAACAGGTCACATATACGGAACCATAGATGCGATTATGATGCAAATTGGCATGAGAAGAGCTAGCTTCTTGCCTACTAATAAGGTCTACGATGATCAGCAACCCAAGGGATACGAGATGAGGATATTCGATTTTTGAACGTAAACAATCTTTTGCGCTCCGATGGTGACTCTAGTGATATTGAACATGTCTTCATTCATCAGTGGAGTTGCTAGAGTTCTTACTTTGGGAGGCTGCGACGTACTATTTATACAGATTGTTCTATCAGTTTTCGTCTTAGTAATGAGCCACCCTGTGATTGAAGGGATGGTATTGAGGACGGACACAGGACGCATTCCACGATCAGTCTATACTGTCAGCTTTTCTTTCCTTGGCATTGTTGTTGCTAGGTTCAAGTTTTCTCATGTAATAATGAAAGTTGTGTATAGGAAGTTATAGGTCATTTTATATCAGTTCCTCAATTAGCATAATTGTAGTACATTCTGCAGAAAATATTCAGAGGTGATGCTTTCTTATCCTGGACTGCAATTCTACAAACTTCTAATTGATTTATGGTACTATTGCAACAAAATGTGTTATTCAACAAATTGCATGCTTTACGAGACCAATTGTTGCTTGGCTTGTAGCTCATTGATAGAACAGCAAAGCGGAGTCCTCGCATTGATGCAACTTGTGAACTCTGCGATGCTGCGTTGGAGAGTCAAAGAAACATCTTTGCTTTGGGTAGAGATCTTGCCAGGCTTTCATATCAGTAGGCATCGTCAAGGCCGAAGCTCAAAGTTTGAATACGCTATTTGTCATCTAAGGGGCAAAAGCATTCCATGCTTAATCGTTGAAGATGCCATGGATTACTTTGGAATATATGAATTAGAGAGTTTGAAGAGGCAAATAGTTTAGTTTGTTATCTATTAGGACTAATGCAGAAGCACAATCAAACGATATGATTCGAGTAAGAAATAAATTATAAAATCAAATCCGACCACAACGGATTTACGTGATTCAGCAATGTCCTTACTCTGCGGGCAGAGGTTGACAAGATGGTTTTATTGTAATCAAGCAAGAGAAGATTACAATTGTTTGAAACACTTACATCAACTATTGTTCAATCCTAGATAACAACTGAACCTTCAAGAACCAATGACAAACTAGGAGTTTCTCATGCTCTCAACTTTCTTGAGCAAGGGATGGACTAAATTGGCACTAGCATATGTTCGACGTCAGCGCCCGTGGAGTAAGAAAAATTGTGGGCAAATTACCAAAAAAGTCTTAAACCTATTGTAATTGTGCCAATTTAGTCCTAAACATTTTGACAATTTGCCAATTCATTACATCCGATCAATTTTAGTCGAAATCAATGACGTGGATGCCTACTGTCATACATGGCACTGCCAGCACTGACGTGTACAATTTTTATAATTTTTAAAAATTTTGTGAATTATTATTTTTCTCTTTTTTTCCTTCTTATTTTCTGTTTTCAATGTGGCCTCGCTAGGGCTGGGCGAGGTCGACCTCGCAAAGCTCACCCTTGTGGCCTCTAGCAAGGGCGAGGTCGACCTCGCCTAGCAGTAGCAAGATTGAGCCTTGCCAACCTAGCCTTGATGAGGTCGAATCTTGCCGGCCACAATGAAAAAACAGAAAATAAAAAAGGATAAAAAGAGAAAAAATAAAAATAAAAAGTAAAATATTCATAAAATGAAAAAAATTTCTACATCAGCGTCGGTGGTACCACATAAGATGGTTGGTGTTCACGTCATCGATTTTCGGCCAAAATTGGCTAGATACACTAAATTGGCAAATTGTCAAAAGGTTTACGACTAAATGCGTTTATTAAAAGGTTTGTGACCTTTTTGGTAATTTTCCTAAAAAATGTTCATGTCAACGCCAACCATGCCACATAGGACGGCCAGTGTCCACGTTAGCAATTTCTGGCCTAAATTGGCTAGATGGACTCAATTGGTACCAATATGAAGATGTTTAGGACTAAAATAGTTCAATTGAAAGGTTTATAACTGAATTGGTACCAATATAATAGGTTTATAACTTTTTTGGTTTTTTTCCCATTTGGGGAAAAGATGTGCAACACTAGCATAAGAAACAAGGGGCATATGTCCCTGATCTTCCTCTGACTAGGGTGCAAGGTTGGCTAATAGTTTAAGGTGGCTCACACAAAATAGGAGTCGTGCCCTTTCCACAAAAATTATGCCAAGTCATGCATGTTAAAAAAATTGGCTTGCACGCAACAACAGTGTTCAGTAAAAAACTTCCACTTCGCTTAAATACGCGGTTATAATATATCTTATCTATATGTTATCTCCCTCAATTTTTTAGTCCAAGTTTTTAGGTTGAATATTCCAACAATTCACACAAATACGGTCGATCACCGGACAAGTGTAAAGATTCGGTTGCACGTATACACTGTTCAGAACCATTTACATGTCGGGAGATCGACAATGCATATATTTAAGAGAGATCACTAGTCTGGGTTGAATCAATAGAACAAGTAAATAATTCCAGTTCAGACGAACAGTGGGCATCGAGTATCTACTCTCGATCATATCGAGCCGTCGAGGATCATTGCTTTGAGAAAGATGAATCGGGCCAAGCCCCAAAATTACGCAAGAGGTTTGTGCTTCCTTCAACATGCTTCGGAGGCAGTCGACATGCTGCTGTACTCCAGTACTAGTTCGGTGTTAACAAGGTTGATGTCGGGAATCTATGTAATTTGTCCAAGCAGCCCCGGAAGAATTCTCCACCTTGAAAGATGCCCCCGAAAATCTTTGAACTTGTCATGTACAGCTGATTCTCTGTGGCTAATTATACACGTACGTCTCAACAAAGTGATTTTAAAAACAACTCCATGTCGTCGTCGTCCTCTTCGTCGCGATATTTCTTCTTTAATCGCAGGTTTCTTGATGAGTACTTGGACGTCCACGTACAAAGACCATAAAAGTCTCAAATGCAGGCGATACAAGTTATTGATACATACATGACTGTAGTGATGATTTTTCAAGAACTGGGTCAAAGGCATTGATCTAAACTTTCTTTATGCAGAGGAAAATAGGGTTTGCGTTCCAGGGTTCAATTAAGAATGAACTGGCAGTGGAAGCAGTTACAGCACTCATGTTGCTGTCACCGACGATGCGCTCCTCCTTCCATTTGTCTTCGACATAACCCCATTAATTACGAGCTTGATTCCATTTGAATAACATTATCAAACTCGAAATACGCAGCAGCCGTCTTCTCTCTCTCTCTCTCTTTGTGTCGCCATTGATCGAGGACGTGGTCAAAGCTCGAAAAAGAAAGGAAAATGTTGTACGAGATAGATGCCAAAAATTCTTTGAAATAACGCGTTTTGAGGCCGTCTAGGTCTGATATGTCCATGCACGAAGAACCGGTAAAACCCCCCTCGCTAATTACTAATTGGCACACAACCAGACACCAGATAATGGTAGTGAACAACCAAATGATATGGACACAAATGTCTTACGTCAAATCATTCTTTTGAACAACTCCTCCTCGAACCTTATGCATGCACTTTTCTCTTCTTTTCTTTTATAGCCAGCAGACGCTTTACTAATGAAGTGTGAGTTGTTCATCAGTTGAAAGTTTCTTGCCCCTTAATTAAATGATAATAACACTAATTAAAATCAAAAGGATGGCAAATTAAGGACCAACGAGGGTTTTCCAGAAGTGGGTTAAGATAATTATTCCTCGAGTCACAACTAGAAGCAAATGGGTCAAGAGGTTTCTAGGGATATTATGTTCTGTAAATCAAATTACCTATGTACAAATTATCTTCTTTTTGTAGAAAAGATGTACGCTTCAATATTGGAAAGTGAAAACGAGTTGATATGCAGAATCTCCTTAGCGCAAAAATGGACATTTGAGTATGCTGATTGTTGGCAACTTTGGCCAAAGAAGAAAATGTAGCTGATGGTAAAATTCCCTTAAGTTTGTCTGCTTGTGCACGAGAAGTAAGTAATACTGATTTTTTTTTATAAGTTATTATTAGACTTATCTTTGGCACAATGAAATACATAATGCTGCCACGCATTTTAGAGTATAATTTGAATCGGATCATTTTAGAAATTCCCAGTTAGGAGTGTGCACAGAACTAGACCGAACCGTAGCGGGCGGTTCTGGGCAGTTTCTAGTTCCAATTTTTTTCGAATTGGGAATAATCGGTCCAGTTTCACGTGCGGAACCGAACCGTCCGGATTGACTAAGACTGAACTGATATGATTTTTTTTTTAAAAAAATTCCTTTTCTTTTAAAGAGTAAAGAAAAGGAAATTACCAAAATCCTAAACCAGACCAATCCAACTTGAGAATTGGACCAGGATAGGTCCGTTCTTGGCCCTACTGTTCTGGTTCTTGGTTCTAGGGTGGAACTGGCCTAACCTGGAAACCGATCACCTCTACTTCTGGTTATGTTTCAAATATAAACCCCTCAAACTCTTAGTTTTATTTCGACCGAAAAAAGAACTCTTCGTTTTATCGAGTTTGATTTTGAAGCAAAAAGTAGAGTGAAATGTGACGAGAATGACTTAAAATTTTCGATGAACCTCAACATTTGAGTGAGAATACAATTCTCGGAGTGCCTAGTTAGAAATTGATTAGAAAATCTGCTATTTTCAGATGGCGATGGCCTCACATTGGATGAATGAGTACGTGCTCGAACTTAAAAGATTGCTCGCATCACCTCCAATGCTAGAAAAATAAATCATAGGAATCAAACTAAAAATGGGTAGGAATCGTGACTTCATTCCAACATCAAGAGCTTGCTCTAATAGACCGTAGAATAAGAAGGCCCTTTTCTTGAAAAAGAGTGTGAACAAATTCTACGGAGATCAGTTCACATGCAAAATATAGGACTCTTCCCTCGTGCATAGGATTACCATTAACAACACTAGTAGCTGAACGTTGTGGACTACTATATTAGTGTCCTCTCCAAAAAACGATAACTTACACACAGTCACTTGCCCTTTAACTACTGCGTTAAGAAAACTTGGGTTGAAAGCTATATGACAACGAGACGCTAGTGGGGGAGGATCTTCTTCTTCTGTACATGCGAGAGAGAGAGAGAGAGACCCCATCAAAGAGCCGGCCAAAAGAATGGTTCTCGGAACAAAGGCCAAACTTTATGTCTCTATATATACAAATCCGCTAAATCCACACTGGTAATGCCAATGTCTTCTAATTGTCGTCATTTCATACATCCCTCCTCACCTTTTTCCTTCACATAAGAACCCCCTCTCTCTCTTCCTCCCCCTCAACCCACGCCTCTCCTCCCACCCCCCCCCTCTCTCTCTCCAATTGCTATCACCCGTCACCATATTCTTCATCTCCCCATAAATTCTTTCTTGGCGGTTTTGGGACAGCAAATTGCAAAAAAATTGCTCTTGAGAAAGAGAAGAGGGTTTCCAATGGAACCGGGGAAGCTGAGCTCAGAGTCGTCAAGCGAAGAAAGTGATCCGATCGAGCAACCGAAGGAGGAAGGGAGCGTCAAACGGTCCTACGAATGCACGTTTTGCAAGCGGGGTTTCACGAACGCTCAAGCTCTGGGTGGTCACATGAACATCCACCGGAAAGATAGAGCCAAAGGAAAGCAAGCTCCAAGTGCTTCTCCCACTATGAGGAAGATCTACGATCCTTATGTCATCTCATCTAATCATATTGGATCGAAATCGGGCCGAGTACCCCCGGATTACGACCTGGGCAAAGATGACGAAGCACAAAGAAATTATTGCCACAAGGGTCTGCAAGCATCTGCTATGAACCCTAACAATTATCTTGAAAGCTTGCACTCTTTGCAAAGAGGAGATGACATTATATTGGATGCTAGTCTTAGCCTACGAATCGGCCCGTCGAACATGGAGCGCACCTGCGAAGTGAAGCGAGATGAGAATCGGGAGGAAGTCGACTTGGAGCTTCGACTCGGCCGCGACCCGTAATTTATTATGCTTTGATTTAGGTTTGAGAAATTTATAATTATTGAACAGATGATATTCTTTCAGAGTTGCTATATATTCTATAAGGAGTGGGAATGTCGATTTCAAGGGTTTTATGAAGGAGGCTTACAGCATACCATGAGTTGAATCTTGGCTCTGATTACCGTTTTATCAAGGTAATGAAAATGTGACTTTTTTTTCTCTAATGAGTTTTTCTTTTTCATGCTTTGTCTGCAGCACAAGTTAAAAAAAGCGACATACATGTGCTGAGTTTGTTTAACTTATAGAGCAATTTCTTTTTTCTGGCGACACAACTTATAGAGCAATTGACATGATAAGAAACGTGGCATATTTTGATTAAACCAGATGCATAACAAAGATACCCATCAGAAGTTGATTCTTATTTGAAATGGCAATTAGCATCAGACTAAAGTTTGATCTCTTGTTGTGCGATTGCCCCTTTATTTTCCTGAGGGTTATAAGAAGGCTCTGCACTTGAGAATTAAACTACATCTGATTACCTTACCAGTTGCTGCTGATCCAAATTTATGCCAAGTTTTCCAAGAAGAAAAGGTGAAAATCGATGCCGGGTATTCGATCGTTTGCATTCTTCTGTTCATCAACAGACAAGATCAATATTTTGCTTAACGATTTTTGAGAATGCATGTCATTCTCTTGTTTTAAGCATCATGTGGCTGTTGGTCGATCAAAGAGAGATGATTGTTTACCAAGAAGAAAGTGTAGATGCAAAGTATGAGTTCTTAACTTAATCTGAAGTATCTCTTATGTTTTGGCATAAGCAGCACTCTTTATGTGAATGCTGGGAACGTAATAATGACAAAAACAGAAAAATTCACTTTTTTTTTCCTTCGAATTTTCATCCGAAATTCCTTTTTCCCTCAGATAAATTGTTCAAAAATCCGCGTGACTTCCCTTGCATATATAATTTGCTTAAAAGAAATCATATTCTCATTTATGGTTGCATGATTAGTAAATTATGCTTGTGAAAATTTGATGATCGCATGCTGACAGAGAAGTATTTGAGAAAGGTCGATTTCTTCATATTCTCCTAGTAATAAACGATGTAATGGTGTTGACCATGTCTTATGTAGCCGATATTCCTGGATGCTGGCAACTTAATTAATACGTGATAATAGTGTTTCGACACAATATACCAGCTCCTTCTTAAAATGGTAAACCGAAAGTATGATTAAGCTCGTCCTACATTGTGTAGCGCGCGTTAGTGTTGCACGAATGTCTATGTGCAAAATGAAATCTTCATGTTTAAGTTATGAACTTCCATGTGCATAACATTGTAACTTCATTGGATTTAGTCAATGATTATGGTTTTTTTAAGTTGTTACCGAAAGTTGATCAGATAATTAAAGTGATGCATAGAACATGAAATTACTAATTGAGATTAAGATAGCTAGCTAATACCTATGTGTCATCAAACTTTACTTTTAGGGAACCTATAGAGGGGCTAAGATGAATTGATTTTGCTCAAACCGTCATGCCACCAATGTGGAGTTTTTCTTTTCCTTCTTTAATGTGCAAAAAGTGAAGCTATAACTAAGAGTGTGAAATTATGTACGAGGAAACTTTGGCAAAAGTGGAATTGTTCATGGAAGTAAATTATAGTATCTAAATAATATTAATAGAAATAAAATTTGAAGATGAAAACAAATGCCCAACATTTGCCCTTTCTAGCTATTTTTATTTCCCCTTTATTATACCTCTCTTCTTCTTTTTTCAAGTTCTTTACCTATAAGTGCTTTTCATTTTTTCTTGGATTTTTCTTCTTATTGCTAGTTTCAAAATTTCTTAGGACATTCAATTATCAATTAAGAAAACAAATTTTTTTAGGACTAATCCTACTCCAAGCCCACTTCCTTAATTTTGGGCAAACTTAGCTCCACTTTCTCAAACTTGTCATAAGTTTTCATTTTGAACATATATATTTGGGATATCATTCTCCTTTTGATTCCATATTCTACTCCTTTTCCCTTTCAAGAGGGTATTGTGCCAAATGAAAGGATTAAAGATTTTAATTAAAACACTCCATGTTTATCTATTTATTGATTTCTTTTTTCCTTCCATATTCCACCTGAAAATTTTAATCAAAAAATTAAAAAAAAGCTTCATTTTATTATTTGTCCGCTCTTCAAGCAGTATATGGCGAGATACTTGTCCAAAAAGTCCTAAACCTATTGTACGGCGGTCAATTCAGTCCTAAATTTTTCAATTGTGCCAATTTAAATTTATTCCCGAACCTTTCAAATGTGCCATTTTACTCCTAAACCTTTTGAAGATTTGCCATTTTAGTATTAAAACTATTATTTGGATAATTGGCCGGAAGGACTACATTTAACTACATTGGCAGATCGTCAAAAGGTTTAGGACTAGATTAACACAATTAAAATGTTTATAACTAAATGGGCAAATTCTCCAAATATTTAGGACTAAAATTACGCAATTGAAAGTTTTAAGATTGAATTAGCCGCCAAACAAAAGGTTTATGACTTTTTGAATAATTTTCCCGGTACATGACATTAGTGTGCGATGAGAGATATCGGTGCTGCCCAAATTAAGAGTTATTTAGGGTTTTTCGAACGTCGTCGTAACAAAACAAATAAGCACCCAATAATTATCGATCGGCAAGGAGTAATCTGTCCCGGAAGATCAGAACCGGTCAACTTTTCTTCACGGGTCAATGTTGGTAGAGGTCCACCATCGTGACTTTTGCTCTCTCTTAACCAAATCAACCTCAATCGCCAAAAGAGTTATTTAAATAATGCATGTTAATAGGTACATGACAAAATACTAGTATAACCTACTTTTGAATGGGGCCGAGCATAATTTGGCTTCCATCGTCGACTCGAACTGAACCGAATGGTTGAATTCGCTCTAGGTAGGCGATTTCAATAAGTAGATTTATATATTGAACCTGAGTGAAATTTGACAGTTTAGTTCAGTTTGGGATTTTTTTTTTCCAAAACGAACCAAATCGTCAAGTGAATTTTTATTTTTTTGCTATTTTTCTTACTTAAAATCAAGCTTTTTGTCACGACGATGTTGCTTTCATTTTTTTTTCGCTTGGTTTCTATTGGCTTGAGACCTTGACCAATTCAAAACTGACGAAAGTAGATGAAAATCAAGAGCACTAAATAAGAAAAATGAAGAAAAACGCGAAAATGATAAGTTCAATCCGATTCCATTTCAAATTGAACTGCACTAAAAAATTCAATTCAGTTCAATTTCAAACCCCTATTTAGTTTAGTTCGATTTTTCATCCACACCGAACAGAGCTGAACTGTGCTCACCTTGAGTTGTAAATTGGCCTTTTCATAGCGTGACCTGATTTTGTATGGGATTGGGGATTCTTTTCTTCAATTTAAAGGGTATAATTTGTCCACCAATGATCACAATGAAGAAGGCACAAACAGCTTCATTTCTGCAAAATTAATCGAGGAGAAACTACTTGATAGACATTGAAGAGATCGAATGCTTGGAGGATTCATGTTTTGGGGTCACTCAAGCATAGCCTTACCGTATTCGGCCATGCATATATAAGCATTGATTTAAGGATGCTTCCCATTATGTTTTATGTTGTTCGTAAGTTTAACACATTGATGTGAGTGCCTTTGTGGACATACGGTCATATGTAGTTAGAACAACCACCCCAACACCCTCTCTAGATAAAAAAAAAAATTGCTGGAAGACGCAATACCAAGTTGGTAATATCTGATTTATCTTGCAACCGAAAATCGACCATTAATTTAGTGGTAGAGCGCACTATTGATAATTACGCCATCGTGCTTGGAGACTATCGACTAGACACAATGACTTGACCCACCCGAACGAACATCTACTATGCTCCATCTCAAATGGGCTAGCCCTAACTCACAACCCATCGTGCCTGCACCATGACCCTTTCGCGTATTGTTAATATAAGATTGTTCATATTTCTTTAGGAAAGTGCATCAAAAGGGCTTAGGCTCTGTTTGGGAACCACTCTCTCAAGAGGCAGGAGAAAATTTGGAGTGTTTTGGCAAATTTTGTTGGAACCTCTTTGGCAAAATGCTGGTCTTGGCAAAACTAAAAGCCTAACCTGTTTTGGGTTTTTAGCATTTGTGGAAGGCCATTCCTAGGGTAAAATAATATTCCTTCTTCCAAAATTACCCTCACTCATTTTTTCGTTTACCAATTTTTCCCTCGGTATAACTGTTCGTCTTCTATGCATAGATTGCCGGTGAAGCTTCGTTAATAGTTGCGTGAGGCTGGCTGATTACCGTCAATGGTCACGCAACCCCAAGCGGCTCCTCATTAGGATCGCGTGACCTCAAGCGGCACTTGCCTGGGGTCGCGCGACCCTTGCTGGGGCTTACCGAGGGACGCCTAAGGTCGTACAACCTCAAACAACGATTGCCAACACCAAATCTGGCTTGCGGCGGCTTGAGCCCTTCGCTGGAGCTAGTGAAGGGTTTGAGTTTTTTTTTTTCCTTTTTTAATAAAAAAATAAGAAAAGCCCTTTGCAAGAATAATTTTTCTAAATACTATTTAACCCAAAATTTCTTTACAATGGATCGTTGAATTACAATTTAACAAACACTGTTTAGATTTGGAAAACCCCTCTAAAAGTCCTCTATATCTCCCAAAAGCTTTCCTCAAAAGTTTAACCAAACGTAGCCTTAAAGATATATAATTTGAGCGCATTTCAGTCGCAAATTTACATATCACTTGTGCCAGTCGAGTGTCTCTGTTACACCGATTAGTTTTAGGCGACGTAAGAATTTGATATGACCTTTCTTATATAGTTTTTTTTTTCTTTTTATTCTATTTTATATAATTTCAAGACGCTTCGCCCTAATGTCTCGTCAAAAGAGTGCAAAATCAGCCTACAAGACTCGTACCTAATAGGCTTCGTACTAATTAGTCTATACTCGCAAATTCATTATCACTAGCACGAGCTCAAACCGGTTCGACAAGGCATTCGAATCGCTTTGAATTGGAGCTTAATTGTCGCACCACTTCTAGCATTGATGAATACTTCGTACCTACCATCGTATTTTTTTTGGGGGGGCATGACGTCATAATTCTCCTCTTTCTATTTTCCACAACAATACCCAACTACCCAAAAAAGCCATAGAGAAATTCGCCCCATCCTTCGCATAATATTCAACATCGATCGATCGCATCCTCCTAGCACGCAAGCCCAACGCCTCTTCCTCCCCTTCTTCTTCGCCGCCGCCGCCGCCGCTGCCGCCGTCGCCGTCGCCGTCGCCGCCATGTGCACGCTCGAGAAACGCGGCGACGTCTTCTACCTGACCCTGACCGGATCCGACGAGCACCGGCTCAGCCCCACCCTGATCGCCTCCCTCCTCTCCGCCCTCGCCGAGGCCGCATCCCAGTCCACCCGCGGCTCCGTCCTCGTCACCACCTCCGCCGGCAAGTTCTTCTCCAACGGGTTCGACCTCGCCTGGGCCCAGTCCGCCGGATCCCCCGACGAGGCCCAGCGGCGCCTCCACCAGATGGTCGAGGAGTTCAAGCCCGTGGTGGCGGCGCTGATCTCGCTGCCGATGCCCACGATCGCCGCCGTGCAGGGGCACGCGGCGGCGGCGGGGCTGCTGCTGGCGCTGAGCCACGACTACGTGGTGATGAGGAGCGACCGCGGGGTGCTGTACATGAGCGAGGTGGACATCGGGCTGTCGCTGCCGGACTACTTCGGGGCGGTGCTGAGGGCGAAGGTGGGGTCGGCGGCGGCGAGGAGGGAGGTGGTGCTGAGGGGGAGGAAGGTGAGGGGGGAGGAGGCGGTGGCGATGGGGATCGTGGAGGGGGCGCACGACGGCGAGGAGGGGGTGGCGGGGGCCGGCGGGCGGCTGGCGGAGGAGCTGGCGGGGAGGAGGTGGGACGGCGAGGTGTACGCCGAGATAAGGAAGGGATTGTACCCGGAGCTGTGTGGCGTGTTGGAGTTGACCACCAAAGTCATCGCGACTCCTAGGCTTTGACGAGTTGGTCTGGTCTGATGGCAAAAAGTTGCAAGTGCTGGCTTTCCTATGTATGTCGTCTCTTACGTTTTCTTGCAATGTAATGTCGAAACTATGTTCACGCCGATCTATCTATCTCATCAGCTTTGTTGCTTGCTCATGGAGTGATAAGTGTTCATGTTGATACATTTCTCCTGTTTCTTCTTGGGTGGTATTCTGAATCGACCTATGCATCGATTTATCTTTCGATCAGGTCTCTCCTATCAGGTCGGTACCTCGGTGATCGTTTTTGCCTCATGATCTGTGCTCCAGCCGGATCGATGACCCGAACCTTCCATTTCGGGCTCTCGAATGTTTGACGACTCAAGTTATCCTCATCTCGATCTATCATCGTCCCAGCAGGCACATGGATACTTTCCTCGATGCACGGAGTAACCGTACTCGTGGATAGGGTATTAGCTCAGTAATTCGTTAAGAGGGCTTGTTTACACCAAGCAAATGCATTCATGCTTTTTCTGGTTCCCACGGCTTCTCTGGCCCATGTGCTCGAGCAATGGTGTTTCTTCAAACCCTGCTTCTCTCTGGAGGTATGCCGAATTCGGGATCCTGCCCTCCGGCATAATTTGATTTCGCTGCTAATGTTTCTCACAAGGATTTATATTCCTCAAATCTAGAGCACCCTAACTTTTACCAGTCAGGTTCGAGTCTTGCATAAGATCCGTCAAACACAAACACAAACAATTAAAAAGAGAGACCTTTTAAGAATCCTGAACATCTAATGATAAATTCAAACCCTTTGAAGAGTAAGCCTTCGTGAACCGACTGACTTAACCAAAATGACAAAATATCATCATTCCCGTCACTCGAGAATCATCCTAACAACCTTTGGAGTCGAAAAATCACAGCAATGTGTACCAAAAAGAGTAGCCCGAAAATCGTTTTATAACCTGGGGATGCTGCAAGAGATGCCATAACATACCAACTCAAAACCCCACCACCCATATGAAGACCCCGCCCCACTAACTGGAAGCGCTCGAGACCGTTCAATGCACCTCCACTTCTAATTTGCTTTCACTTTTGGGCTCTTCTTCTTGAGTTGCCTCCTTGGAATCGAATTCTTCATCCCTATGAAGAACAGAAGGGCACCGAAAAATGCCATGTTCTAGAAGGAGAGCAGGGGAGAAAGCATCGATTTTAGTGTCTGTCACAAAGTGCAAAAAAAGTACATCAAACAGCCGACGAAAAATAGGCGAGATCGAATGCATACCTGTGTGAAGACATTAAGAAGACTCTCGAACTCGGGCTTGGTTGGGTCATAGTTGTAAAAGTCGTAGAGAATTGGAGTTGTGAGCACCAATTGAAGAAGCTGCGCACAAAAGTAAGTTAAAAAATCGTCTTCAACTTTCACCAACTCTAAAGAAGGAAATCGTATAAGAGACCCACCAGGAGATAAGCCCCAAAGGAGCTACCGAACACGAACAAAATGCCTCCGAGGCCTTTAAGAACGTAGATTGATGCGACCACGTGTCTAGTCTGCATGAAATCCTGAAAAATCAGGGTGTATAAAAGTAAGATAATGCAAAAGGAGGAATAAAGCTAAATTTAAGCAAAAAGGAAGATGAATGGAGCACAACAAAACGACAGAAAACCTACATCAACATCAGGCGTCGCAACTCCCAATTTGGAGGACAGATGGTGCAAGGCAACATCTAACTTAGGGCGCAACTCCTTAGCCGCCGTGGCACCCCCATCAACAGCAAACTCATTGTACCTGCCGGACAGCAAAACATGTTCGATAAAAACCCATTACTACCTAGTAAAACCAAAACATCCAAAAAGAGGACTTTCCACATAGTAAATTAGGCAGGTGAATCCGATTAAACAACCAAAACAAATATCATGAAACTCAACAGTAACAAATTAGAGAGGATTCGTTAACTCCACAAATATGTTGCTTCACGACAAATTCAGATAAAAGTCATGAAGAAGACAAGGGAAGAGGATGACCATGTTCTGGATAAAAGTTGCATTCCTTCGTGAAAAGTAGGGAGAAAAGGCTACAGAAGCATTAAATCAATAGATTTGAACTTGAAAGCAAATCAATAGACAGAATTCCAATTATGGAAAAAAGAGTAATTAGAATCCTCCATGTTAGACATATGGCTACCGCCCAAAGCTACAAAAAAAAAGGTAAACTACCTTAAAGTTCCCTAAAAGCAACTCCATCAGTTCTCAGTTAACTTTCTCAGTGTTTCCTTGTAAATAAAGTTTCAAAATTAAGGGCACTCATCACAAGTATCATGCACACAACACACATTAAGGCCAGGGAAATCAACAACATCCCATAATATGCTTCACAACCTCAAGATCCTGCAATGAATTACATAAACTGTCTATCCATTTGCAGCAGTTAGCTCAATGAGAAAGCAAGCGCAAGTTTAAATTGAATCCTGTCGGTAGGCAGATGAATCAATCTGAACTAGAACAAAACTGACCACTCTTTGTATCGCAATAGTTCTCACCATGAATTATGTAAGTTATGCATGAATTGCATAACCTGCCCTCCTTAAAATGGCGGCTCAAAGGGATCCTCAAATGCATATCCCTAGTCCCATTAGAATATTTTTACGCAAACTGAACAATAGTCTACGCAATACAGGCATCTATTTAATCTACACGTTTGCTTCGAATCCCCCACACCAAACAACCCAATCATCTGTTATCAAGCAAGAAAAGGAAACTAACAGGATCTCAAAATTATCTTTCTGTAATTGAATGTCATCTCTGCATTGTAACTGTCCCTCTGAACGGTCACCCCAAGCCCTATCTACTTGGCAAAACTGGCATCATATTTTTTTCAAAAGGAAACGCAAGCTCTCTTCCATACAATGACTAGCCCCCAACCCATTTCCATGAGTAGTTAAACCTCATTACGAAGCAAAGCAAAACCACAAACACCAGTCACCAAGGCATCGAGTGCAATTTAAAAAGTCATCACAAGAACAAGAAACGCACAAATGTCCCGCCTTTATAAATTTAAACAGCAAGTAGTGCAGACTAACAAGAACCCAGAAACCCAAAACAGGCAGACATCGCGGAAGCGCGAGCAGTTACTACAAACATCACATCAACCCGAGATTCAAGATTCCTTGCGCATCAACTCGTCAAACGGAGAGAAAAAGCGCAACCGCCCACGAAAACCCGCTAGATCCAGCACAGAACCGCAGATCTCGACACCAGTAATGAAGCGAATCCGACCGAGAATCACACAACCCAAAGGGGGGAAAGACGAAAGAGGCAAAAGCCCCGCTCAACTAAACGCTAGATCCAGCAAGCGCGAGCACGCAAGGACCCCGGGCCAGAGCTCATCCCGCCGCTCCGCTTCAGCTGCAGCAACACCCAGAAACCCGAGAACCCCGAATCCATTCGACGGATCTAGAAAGAGCGCGCGCGAGAGACAGAGAAAGAGAGAGAGAGAACTCACATCTGCCATGCGGAGAGGAGGAAGACGGACGCGAAGAGGACCCTTCCGAGGAACGAGAAGAAACCCATCTCTTCCTCGCTATTCCCGCACGCACGGAGAGAGAGAGAGACACGCACAGAGAGAGGGGAGAGAGAGGTCTGAGGAGCAAATCTCGGGTGGGTCTGTCTGCGCGACCAAGGGAAGAGCGACAGAGCGACAGAAGAGAGAGCGCAACGAGGAGGGGACTTCGGAGGAAGAGAGAGAGAAAACGATGGGCTTTGTGGTTGGTGGAATTGCGTGGAGGGCGGTCAAAGTCAACGCCAAGCCTCTTCTTCCCCTCTTGAACTATCAAAGTATATCATTCGAAAAAAAACCAGGACAAAAAAAAAAATTGATAAAAATGAGAATTGCTAAGAGATGTCCTTTTTTTTTCTTTTCTCTTTTTTTATGGTTGTCAAAGAAGGTGCTGAGAACCTGCCTAAATTGTTTAGAAATTGAAGTTGGACAGTTTGAGGTATTTGGGATTTAGACGGCCTAAATTTCTGCTCTTGACAAAATTATATTTGGCCTAATTTGATTTATAATGAAAGATTTACAAGTTATAGGAGGCCTTTCTTTTTCACGACAGCGAAACCCGTTCTAGGTGACCGCATATTTTTTTATCTATCTGCAAGACACGGATATTTTACCGTTACAGTAAAACATGTAATTGGATCTTTGACTCTCTTTTTTTGGGTGGAATGGATCTTTGACTTTAATGTGCTACTAAGTTCTTTAATTTCAATTTGGTCGAGTTATCCCAACGATTGAGATGGCTAAAATAGAATTTTTGAGAAATAAATAATTTGAAATATGGAGGAGAGCATTTCTTAATGTAAAGGAATAATGACACAGATGTCCTTAAACTTTGGCTGAACGTGCAATGTGATCCCTAGACTTTTAATTTGTTTAATATGAATTTAGAATTTTATCTCTATATACAAGTGGTTCCTGAACTTTTAATTTGTTTAGTGCGGTGCTTCTGGACTTTTAGTACATGTTCAATGTAATCCTTGAACTATATGAGAATGCTCAATGTTATCATTCCATTAAATCAAATTTAGGACTACATTGACTATTTTCATATATTTAGGAACTAAATTGAACATGTATCAAAAGTCCAAAGATCACTTTGAACAAATTAAAAATTCGGTGATGACATTGCATATTGGGTTGAAGTTCGGGGACCACATTAAACAAATTAAAAGTTCACAAACCATATTACACGTCGGCCAGAATTCATGAACCGTTTGTGTCATTTTTTTAATGTAAAAGAAAAGGAAAAAGAAAAAGGAAAACCAAAAGAAAATGAAACAAAGAGCAATGAGACAACCTCCGCCTCTTTGTTTTACATGTTTAGAACTTTTGTACTAGTATATTCGAATTTTCCAAACTTTTTATAAACATCTTCGATAATTGCTTCTTTAGAATATTTATTCTTGGCCTTACACTATTGTCGAGAACAAAGGTCCTGTTCGAGATTAAGGATCCTATTCTTTCAGCAAATATCTATTTGCACTCGTCTCATGTTGATGAAATCATCTGCGATTTCTCGACACCATTTTCTTGCCCTAACTTACCAATTCAATTTCATAAGGCCCTACGTACACTACACGGTACACATGACTCGGGTCATAGTCAGATTTAATTGAGACTAGACTCCAAATTCTCTGTGGAAATTAATATGCTTTAAAAATGGATTTTCCGATATTTGGTTGGACTTTTCAAATGAGCTAGAAACCATTTTCATATGTTTACTACTGAAAATTTAAAATGAGGAACCTAACTCCCAAGTCTAACACCCAAGGGTCAAGGTCCCATGGCCAGGGCCGGGCGTCCGGGTGCTCACTTCAATGGCCAACGTCTCGGGGCGGAATGCTGGGTCCCGTGTCTGGGCATCGGGGACTCGGGTCTTAGACTTTGGGCGTAGGGGTCCGAGGACTCGTGAACCTAGCGTTGACTTGATTGACCCTGCGGCATAGTTCCCTGTGAACAGGGTCTCGAGTCTTGGAGTCGAGATCTTGAGGTTTGGGTCCACCCCCAAGTTCCCTTCGCTAGTTTGGGCTCCGTCTGAGAATTGTATTCTCAAGGGATGTTGGGCTCTAAAGTTTCTTAGGCAAATGTAAATACCGTTTGATAAATTTTTTGGAGGATTTTCGGAAGATGGAATTGGAGCAATCTCGACTTTAAGAAATTGAGGTACGATTCGGCGAAATGCAAAAGTTACCGAATGTATTAACGTCACTCATCCATTCCAAGGTTATTCATCATTCCCGTATTCATTCCCACCTCCCCCATCATGATTTTTCCATCTCAGATCTCACTATCCGATCCCCCTTCATTCTGTGCATCCAAACATGATCGCATAAACGGGAACATGGATCTTAATTTTCACGCCCCTAGCTTTACTCACGATCGATAACCAAAACAAGGTATTAGATAAAGGAAAACGAAACGTATTGTTCATAACACTTCCGTTAACTTCGGCCGACACCGTCCAAAATCTCGCGAAACCAACAATGATCATCAATTTGTATCACGTATCGATCAACTTCGTCAAAAGTCTCTCAATCATTCATAAAGAAAATTGCATTGTCCCGTGTACATTTTATAAGCTAAAAAGAACTAGCTTTCCACTCCCCGACATAACGACAACTTCTGCTACCCGTAGCATCTTCCTTAGAACAGCTCGAGGCATATACATTCCAACGTTATCTTCCTTTCAAGTGCATGCATGAATACAAATCCTGAGACGAATCATTGCAGCTATTATAATGTCCGAGATACCCCATCGGAAGGAGACAGTATGCTACTGCTTCTCCCTCTGTCTTCAAGCCCCACATGAAGCATCAGATCGACCGTTATATATGTTTCCAGTTCTCGTTCATTAGTTCATTCATAAACTCTCTTACTTACACTCTTCCCCGGGAGCTTGTTTCTCTGTGTTTTAGGTCTCTCTCCCTCTCTCTCTGTCTCCTCTTTAATCAGTTTATCTAGCTGCTTTTGTCGTTAACTTCCCCGACGCAATTTCAACTCCAAATTAGGCGAGGAAGATGGTTGTCGACGCTGCCCTCGAAGTCGAACGGCGACTTCCCTCGAAAGTTGAGCCGGACTATGACCGCTTGAGCGAGCTGAAACCGTTTGATGAGCCGAAGACCGGGGTTAAAGGCCTGGTCGACACGGGAATCGGGAAAGTGCCACGGATCTTTATCCACGAACCCGAGAGCTTCGACCGGAAATACGGTCGAGGGAGCCCAGACCTCGTGGTCCCGGTCGTGGACCTCGAAGGCGTGGCCGATGATCTGGTGCGGCGTAAACTAATTGTCGATCAAGTTCGAAATGCCTCGGAGGAATGGGGGTTCTTTCCGGTGGGGGTTCATACCTGTTTGCTTCAGTTTGGTCCCTGCGAAACTTACTAACAACCAAACTCGGAAATTTTCTGTTAGATTTGTCTACGGCTGAAGAGAGAACTATATGTTTTGCCTCGAGTCGATGTTGTCTAAATATCAGAGTCGTCGTTTGTGTTCAATCTGTTAAGTTGAATTATAGCAATCTGCATCAAATTTATAACTGAAGATGTGTCATCAGTGAAAAACTCTAGTAAGTAGAAGCATGACTACAGGCATGGAAATTCATTCTAAATGAGAAAGCAAATGAAGATTTTCGATTCGCATAACCTGCTCCCACATATTCTAAAAAAGAAACTGTTCAGATGTCGATGCCGATATCAAAGAATGTGGAGATTTGGGAAAAACATTACGAAATGCTTTCGACTATGAGTGAAAGCAGCTGAGCAGCTTTGGCTTTGAGAAAAGGGCAGGATCTGAGCTCATACTGTTTCACAATAATTCCACCCCGCGACGAACATTCTAATATATAAAGTATGATTAACAAGTATGTTCACTTGTCTTCAGGTGATAAACCATGGAGTGCCAGAAGAGATCATGCAGGAGATGATTGCTGGGGCCATAAGGTTCTTTGACCAGGACCGAGAGATCAAGAAGGCCTTGTACACGAGGGATACGATCAAGAAGGTTGTGCACAATAGCAACTTTGATCTGTATCAGTCCTTGGCAGCTGACTGGAGGGACAACATGTATTGCCTTCTTGCTCCCAGCCCTCCCTCATATGAAGAGATCCCAGCCGCTTGTAGGTATGTGAAGGAATTAATTAAGCCCTAATTTGATGTAAAAGAAACAGTATGTGATGTCTTTCTCTGACATCAACAATGATCATGGGTCATGAAACATTGCAGGGACATCATGCTAGAGTACCAAAAGCAAGTGACCAAGGTTGGGCTCTTGCTGTTTGAGCTGCAATCAGAGGCCCTAGGGCTCAAGCCAAGCCACCTCAAGGACATAGATAGTGCAGAGGGGCTTGCAATGCTCTTGAACTACTACCCTCCATGCCCTGAGCCTGACCTGACCATGGGCACAAGCAAGCACCAGGATGATTACTTTCTCACTGCGCTCCTCCAGGACCAAATTGGTGGCCTCCAAGCCCTCTACAAGGATCAATGGGTCGATGTTCCTCCAGTTGCTGGAGCCCTTGTGATCAATATCGGAGATCTTCTTCAGGTGAAAATCCTTTCTTTTGTTTCATCAAAAAGCGCAAGGAGCTCATACCTATCTCTTTGATACTGTCTTTTTTTGCAGCTTATATCGAACGACCAATTCAAGAGCGTCGAGCACAGGGCCTTGGCAAGCCGGGTTGGCCCGAGAATCTCGGTGGCCAGCTTCTTCACCACATACATGCAGCCATCATCGAAAATCTACGGGCCCATCAAGGAATTGCTGTCAGAGAACAATCCTGCCAAGTACAGAGAAACCACGGTGAGGGACTACACATACTACTTCAACATGAAAGGGCTCGACGGCACTTCGGCTCTCCCGCACTTCAGGCTTTGAACTTTGGATCACTCTTGTTGTGAAGGGCCCTATGATTTTTCATCCCTATCCAATATAGCAGAGGGTCATCAAAACTGTGATTGTACTAGCAAGTGTACTCCTATGTCTTCATGTTCATCGGTGTTCTGTTTGGCTTGTGCTTCAAATGTTATAAATAAATAGTCCTCTTCCAATTTCTGGTGTTTCACATATGATTTGCTGTACAATTCTTCTTTTGTTTCTGGTTCTGCATCAATAGCTACTATTAAGCGATTCATGACCGACCCTTCAGATAGTAAAATGACTTTAAAATTAAACAAAAAATAGCCCAATTTGTTCGTCAATCCTTATAATCATGTCACAGGTGCTGTCTCGCGACACGTTAGGCTTCAGATGTTCTTTAATTGCACAGATCAAATGAGCAGCCGACACAATCTCTCTAGTTTACAGAAAATGTTTGTAGTTTGTACCGTGACCCTGTGGTTATAAGATTACGTACTACCAATTCAATGATATGTTACTTAAGATTTTTTACTTTGACTGATTCAATGAGATTTTACTTATGATAGGCATGAGATTACATGAATGTGTAAAAAATGATGCGGAACTTCAACAGCAGTTGAGCAAAGGCACTATAGTCTTGATCTTTGGGCTCAAGAAAGAAGGTTATTGGATCTAAGCAGTAGCATTTTGAAAACCGGGTGTTTTCTTTGCTTGCCAACCAAGTAAAAAAAAATGTGCATGAGTGATGCATATAAGAACAACCTTCTGATAAATCATGCACATCTCTTAAACCCTAATCAAATTGTCTTCTTAGTGGTACACGTATCAGTCATAAACCCCACTTTGAACCACAATGAAGACTTTCGATTCCAGCGGGTCCAACCGAAAGAAGGAGCTAGAGGACTTTGACGCCAAGAAGGCCGGCATCAAGGGCCTCCTTGACGCTGGAATCACTAAAATCCCGAAGATCTTTGTTAGGCCGACTGATGAGAGAGCTGAAGACGACCTGAACCGCACTCTAAGCGATGCTCAAATACCGCTCATCGATCTTGGCCAAATCAAAATAACCGAGAGCCGTAAGGAGATCGTTGAGGGAATCCGTTCCGCGTCGGCTGAGTGGGGATTCTTCCAGCTGATCAATCACGGGATCACCTCAAGCTTGATGGAGAGCATGTTGAACGGAATCTGGAGGTTCAACGAGGGAGACCCCGAGGTGAAGAAGCAGTACTACTCAAGAGATAGGACTAAGAAGGTTATATTCAACTCGAACTTCGATCTCTATGCTTCGACAAGCGCTAGCTGGAGAGACACCTTGACTATATCTTTGTGGGACTCGAACGATCTCGACCCAACTGAACTTCCATCTGCTTGTAGGCATTTGCGAAATCGAACTGATCACACTTGCCTGAAGCCACTGTTCTAGCACGAAGATTTGGGACTAATTTATCCAAAGTCCCAAGAGATTAGTATAGTTTCCTCTGTTTCCTTACTGTGGTTCTGGTTTATTTATTGGATATTGTAAAGAACAGGTCGATAGGTTCTTTATGTGTAGATAATTGACCGATATGGCCATTCCTTTTGAGCTTGATAAATTCTTGAATCAGCAATTTATTGATGCATTATGGAAATTTAGTTTTCCGATTGTTCGTTGCTACTTGTCTTGAATGTGAGTCTATTTCTAATGAGGTCAAAATACTTTCAATTTTCTGATTTTCATGGTTCTAGACAAACTATACATTATCATTAGAAGGTTAATGCCATACAAAAATCTCAAACTGGTACACGCATGCCCTATTAACCCAAAATTAATTTTTTTGTCACAGAAAACTCCAAACTGGTATATCCGTACCACATTTACTCCAAATTATTCTTTGTCGCTTTAGGGAAATAAACTAAAACCGGGAAAAGATTGTTGATTTCCGAGTTAAGTTTAGGGTGTTTTGGTTGATTAAGCAGAGAAGCAGCTATGGAGTACATAAAGCAAGTGAGAGAGCTTGCCAATTAGCTCCTGGAATTGCTGTCAGAAGCTCTAGGGCTCCAATCAGGCAATCACAGCACCTGATAGAGATGGAGTGCGGCAAAGGATGCAACTTTGTGTGCCACTACTATCCAGAATGCCCAGAGCCAGAGCTGACTTTGGGAGCTAAAAAGCACAGGGACCCTTCTTTTTTCACTATCCTCTTGCAAGACCAAATTGGTGGCCTCCAAGTTCTGCAGCAAGACCATTGGGTTTGTGTCAACCCCATTCCTGGAAACCTTTTGGTCAATGTTGGGGTCTTTCTTCAGGCGAGAGGGTTCACACAATTCCTTTGCCTCTTAATTCGGTCTTTCCTATTCTTGAATTGTCTTTAGCATCATTATTAAAAACTGACCTCGGCATCGGATCGGCAACTCGAGGAACAATTTGGCAACCTTTGAGCCCTTGATCACCTCCTCATCATGCCCCCTGGCCCCCATCTTAAGAATCGAGTCTTAATTGTAGATATGAGTGATGCTAGGTGTACTAAGACTGGTGTACCAAATTGATATATTGAGAGATGTGGAATACTGCAATTGAATCTTTAAATAAGTGAATCGTATTCTGCATTCAATACAAGTATGTTCTGCTACTTAATACACCAATTAACCACATAAGTTCAGTATATCTAACATCATTCTAGTGGACAGAAGGAATTTAATTTAGATATACCCACTGAATCTCTCTCTCTCGATCTCTCGATGTGCAGATCATATCAAACGGCAGATTGAAGAGCGCTGAGCACAGGGTGTTGGCGAACCCAACGGGCCCGAGAGTTTCTGTCGCTTGTTTCGTGGCGGGAAGGATGGGCCCATCGGAGAAGGTCTACGGCCCGATCAAGGAGCTCGTATCGGAAGGAAGCCCGCCTTTGTACAGAGAGTTCCGGCCCAGTGACTATGTCTCCTCGTATCAACGGAAGAAGCTTTTCGAAAATTCTGGCCTAGATCAACTATTGAAGATACAGTAGACAGGGCACCGGATTTATGAAGCAATAGACTTGAGATATATGGAAAAAATGCAGATAATGATGCTCTAACAATTTGTGCTTGTTAGAGAATTAAATAAGATTTGGTTGATGTTGGTGTGTCATGGGGTTCTATATACATCATCTATTAAAACCAACTTGAAAATTGGAAGTTAATCTAGTATTATTGTATTTGCTTTTATCTCGGATTATACGTAGCTTGTGATTTTTCCTAAAGTTGATGCTTGAGTTTCTATTTTCACCTTCCATTTTGTGGCTCCGGTATGACTTTCATTTATATTCGACTAACTGCATCAACTCCCCGTGACACCAGGGAGGGTCGCCGGCCCTCGCCGGCTAAGGGCCGCCATCCTATGGCCTCTTTCCCCGATTCTCGACCTCTCTCTTTCTCTCTTCTATCTTTTTTTTTTTAATTTATATCTTTTTGGCCTTTTTCTGATGTGGCGTCACACTAAACACCAAATTTGCACCATGTATTCTCAAAAGAAGGGAAAATATAAATGACTCGTAGATTTTTATCCACTCAAATCTAACGGAACTAATAGAAGCACTCTCGTGTATGGACTTTGCAAGTTTTTAAGATTCAAAATGAACGGAATAAGAGTTTTAGAATTCAAGTGTACTATCATAAAAAAGTTTTATGACTTCTTATATAATTGTCCCTCGTTGTCGCAACCCTCCCTTCGTAAAGGTGTAGGGCGACGGTTAGGACGGCGGCTTGCCAAGTGAGAGTGGCTAGAGCCTTGAGCGAGGTTGTGTTAACACTTGGTGTAGATTCTCCCAAACTCTACCAATCCGCAACACTTTGGTTGACTTGGTTCATTATGAATAACATGCTTTTCATTTTGGGAGTTGCCCCTAACCCATTTGAGATCAATTAGAAGCCAATTGAAGCTTGGGAGGATGATTCACTTTCCACAAACCAGAGTTTCTGGGAGCAGAAACTTGATTACGCTAATTCGAATTAGCACCCTTTCAGTACCTATTCTCGTTTTATTGCAAAGACATTAATCATGGGATCTTGTCAATTTAAGCCCTAGGCACATCCACTATATGATCATGCATGGATAATTTGCACATTTTGCGTTCAATGATCACATGACCAAAACATAATAAAAAAAAACATTAGGTAGTAAAGCAACCACATAATTGAAACATCATAACAAACGAAAGTAAAGAAAGGACGAGAGGTAAAGTGCGAAAATTTAAAACTCGATACGATGTCAGGCAAAGAACATACATCGCCACATTATTAAGCCCTAGGACAGGACTCCCATAAGCTTTACCTAAAACTAAACGTGCATCTATTTTTCACATATAATTTTTTTGTGCCAATCTTTGATCAGTCCTAAAGATAGCATGATTAAACATTGAACTCACAATTAGGGGTGAGCACTGGTCCGGTCCCAACCCAAGAACTGAATCAAACCGGCGGGTTCTGGGTGGTTCCCGTAGAAATCAATCCGGTTCCCGATTCCTAAAATTTGGAACCGGTGATAATCGGTCTGTTCCCAGTTCCAAGTGTAGACCAAACCATGCAAACCGCCAGGATCTGACCGATAATTTTTTTTTTACAATTCTTTTTATTACAATTCCCAAAAGATGATTGAGGCCAGATGCGTTTGTGGAGCACCCAGACAAAAGCAACGTTCATTTGGATATCCATGAGTTTATAGAAAATGAACTCGAGACCCTGTTAGGTTTGCACAACTAATTCCTTTTACAAGGCTCACTTCTGTTCATATGTTATGTTTTAGCAATCCTTTTGCTGAGGTTTATTAGTTTAATTTCATGTCGTGAATCATGAGGAGGATTAGTTGCCCAAGCATTCGGGCTAACTCTATCAACTTAACCTGAAAGGAAACAACAATGTAATCTTTTCATGGTATAGGGGATACCAACCAAGATATGCAAAATTTTCATGTTAATATTCAAAGATGAAGAGAAAATGAAGCTTTCCTGTATATGGTAAGCCGAATCGATCAGTGAACTTGTCCAGTATAGATGTATAAAATGTTAAGATAGCAAATGGACCCGCGAAGTCATGAATCATAAGGAGGATTAGGTGTAATAGTCCACGTGATTCTTGGATGACCTGAGGTGAATCTCGAATATATATACGAGATATATACGCACATACACACGTATATATATACACACAATTTTCAAGAGATATTTAAGGGCAACTGAAGACTCCAAATCCATGCCGACGACATCGGTGATGTTTGTTGGTTGTGTTTCGGACGTTTCCTCATTCCACAAATTCATCCCATCGTAAATATTGTCGTAGAACATTAAGATAGGGTCTTAAGTCAACAGATGTCGATCAACTCTTAAATTCGGGTGCGCAATAGATTGGAGTCATTTTTAGCCCGTTTCTTAACGGTTTCACTTTTTGTGAGAAATGGTTTGTCTTAGGGCTGTGCAACCGAACCAGACAAAGATAGTAGGTTCTAGGGTTAGTCTGAAGACATATAGGATTTCAGATTCCAAAAATTGAGAACCGGTTCCTACAGAGCAGGTTCCAAGTTTCAAATCTAGAACCTGTCCATTTTGAAACCGATCACCTCCAGTTTGTCTAACTTGGTTGAGCCATTTCCCCGATTTTCTTGATGATTCCGGCTCAGGCTTTGCCAGCTTGCAAATGGTATTATCTTCTTGTTATAGAATCGGCCGTATTTTTGCAGTGGAAGAGACATTTCAATTCCAACATTCTTCACCCGCTGTTGGAGATTTCCTTTCGTTTTCTTTAGAACGAATTGCATGACTTTATAAGACATTATTTGATATACTATTCGCTACTTTGTTATCTTTATGAATTGATAATCTATTCTCGTGTGTGCCTTAATAAACCACTCAAAATCGTCTTGCTATAAACCATGCATCTAGCCTATTTTCCGCGATAGAAAAAGCTTACGTGATATGCTACATATACATTTTTTGCTCATTTCCTAATAGTTTAAACTTATCAAGAAGATCATGTGTCTAAAAATTAAAATTAGTGGGATATTTCGAGAGCATATAGAATTTATCCACTTAAGGTAAAGTTGCACGTCATTTAATATATTTTCCCCAATCATTTAACAAAATTTTATATCTTTTCCCTTACGAAAGAGATTTATCGGAGCAATAAGAAAGAGAGTTGAATAGCTGCGCAATTGCTGGTAAACATGAAATTCACTATAAAAGCAAGCTCCCGGATAGATGTTTTGGCATTGTCTTCTTTGATCATAATTTGCTCTTTTATAAAACAGCAGCACACTCACTTGTCACCGCCTTTCCTATAACACCACAATGGGCATCCTAGATGCTAATGAGTTCGATCGAATGGAGGAGCTAAAGGACTTCGACGACACGAAAACCGGCGTCAAGGGCCTCGTCGACACTGGGATAACGAAAATGCCGAACATCTTCATCAGACCAGCCGATGAGCTCGCCGAGGACGACATCAGTTTTTCTTTAGGCGACGTCCATCTTCTGGTCATCAACCTTAGCCTAATTCAATCGCTCGAGAGGCGCAAAGCGATCGTTGACGAAGTCAAGGCCATGTCGAGCGAGTGGGGGTTCTTCTGGCTGGTCAATCACGGGGTCCCTCGAGGCCTGATGGAGGACATGCTGGAGGGGATCCGACAGTTCAACGAGGGCAACCTTGAGGAGAAGAAGCGGCTCTACTCGCGAGACACAACGAGGAACGTGATATACTATTCCAACTTCAGCTTGTACCACTCGCGGAGTGCGAGCTGGAGGGACACCTTCGCCATGTCGTCACAGGTGTCCGACCCGCTCGAGGTCCCAGCCGCTTGCAGGTATTGAAAATTATTTGAACTGATCAACTCAGGTAGTGATTTTCTTTGCTAAAACGCAGTTTTGACGACCAAAATTGGGTTCATCGCTTAATCTTCATCGCTAAACCCTGGTTTCTTGTGGTGGCCGTACAAGGAAATCTCTCGTAATTTTTGCAACGAAAATAATTTTTGCTCCACGATTACTAATACTATTACCTGCGCTGTCATTAGAACTCGTTTGAAACGACAGAAGTTGCGACGAGCTTAATTTGATCCGTTTGCTTGAACAGGGAGGCAACATTGGAGTACATGAAGCATATGAGAGAGCTTGGAGATTTGCTCTTGGAGTTGCTGTCTGAAGCTCTAGGGCTCAAGCCACAGCATTTGATAGAGATGGAGTGTGGCAAAAAACACAACTTTGTGTGCCATTATCATCCACCATGTCCAGAGCCAGAGCTGACTTGGGGAGCAAGAAAGCACAGAGACCCCTTTTTCTTGACTGTGCTCTTGCAGGACCAAGTTGGTGGCCTCCAAGTCTTGCACCAAGATCACTGGCTTGATGTCAAGCCTGTTCCTGGGAGCTTTGTGGTCAACATTGGGGACTTTCTTCAGGTTTGCAATCGATCCGCACACAACTTTTCTTGAACTTTAAATTGTGCTCCTGTTAGATAATCCAACTCCAAAAAGTTCTGAGATTGGCTTTGCGGTTGAGGTATGGACTTGTGTGTGTAGATTACTGAAAGTGTACTTCCTCGTCATGAAAAAGGAAACTTGGTCAGAATAATTCCCATTAACAATCAACGAGTAAACAAGGCAGAAATACGTGTATTTCTGACCTAGCTGAAAATGCAGATCATATCGAACAACAAATTCAGGAGCGTAGAGCACCGGGTACAAGCGAGTCGAGTGGGCCCGAGAGTTTCAGTGGCCTGCTTCATCACTGCAGGATCGGGCCCATTGGAGAAGGTCTTCGGCCCAATCAATGAGCTCGTGTCTGAAGAAAGCCCTCCTTTATACAGAGATTTTCGACCAAGTGAATATGCTTCCTTGAACTACCCAATCAGCAACTCTGTTGGACTCTCTATTAACATGGGCTAACTTTAAATCCTTGAAAGGCTTGAGGAGCGAATGGGCTTTTTTGATAAGGCCTTGTACTTCCCAGCCGATTTGCGCTCCGCCAGTAAGTGCGCTTATCAGATCAAAATGGTCTGACTCCACTGTAAGTGAGACTTCAATTCGTGTGGAAAAATAAATGAGAGTTTCCACCATGGCTTGCGCCTCTGCCTGAGCTACTGAAGACGCCCTAATAGATCTCGCGAAGCCATCAATTAGTTTCCCAGAGTTATCACAAGAGACACCTGGTCACCGCACCTTCATTTGTTCCAGGCAAGTAGGCTCCATCGATATTAATTTTTAGTTCTTCCGGTTACGGTGGCCGCCATTCGTGGAGGCGGAAGCTTGCTTCTTGTTGTAGTTTTCTTCTTCCCGGGAGCCACCGATCATGATTTCGTTTCATTACGGTTGCTTCACCATTACTTCCTCCGGGTTTGGCTTTTGCCCTCGAAAAAGCAGTGGTTTCGAGTTTTCCAAATTTGCCAAAGAACAAACGTTAGAAGCTCAAAAGTTACCGAGGTATGTTTAAAGTCAGCTAACCACACTTCGAATCGCGTCAAACCTTGAGCGGAGACATTGATGTTCAGAGCTGTATTTTTCCAAATTTTCCTCGTCCATGGACAAAGAAGGAGAGCGTGTTCTACCGTTTCAGGGCATTGATTACAGAGACTACAGAGGGGGTGTGGTAAGATCTTCCTTCTGAAAAGGTTATCCTTGGTAGTAAGAGCATTTTGGCAAGCGCTCCATAGAAATTTTTTTTATTTTGGTGTATGTGTGGGATTGCCTTATCTTCATCCACAGTGATTTGGGGATTTGATAAGAGGAATATGCCTTTTCTGAAGCTTGGTTGGTTGTTTCCTCTCTGCTACTGTTATATGCACTCTTTACCGTAAAACATCCTGATTTTGAATGTGTCCACGCTATTCTATCTTCCATTTCCTGGCTCCCCAAGGCAGTAGCTAAGATTTCATTGCTGCTATCTGGATCAAAAAGTTCCTTTACTAGTTGCTCATTCCAGCATTCCTCTTCTTTTATAATTAGATCTGACACCAATCTAGGGTCGTTTATGTTCGAGGGTCCTCCAATCAAACCTCGTTTAAGCCATCTGTCTTCTCTAATATTAATCTTTTCCCCATTACCGACTACCCATCTGATCGATGGTTGTATGGCATCTCTTCCAATAACAAGGCTTTGCCATCCCCAAGAAGGTCTACTTCCTTTCCTAGCGCACCAAAAATTCTCCCTTGGGAAATATATTCCTTTTAGAAAACGACTCCACAAAGATGAAGGATCTTGTGATATCCGCCACGCTTGTTTTCCCAACATAGCCTTGTTGAAAGTCAACAGATCTCGAAACCCGAGGCCTCCGGCATCCTTTCTATGCTTCAAGGTTTCCTACCTTTTCCAATGCAAACCCGTTTGCTTTATGTTGTTTTTCCATCAAAACGCAGCTATCTTTTTCTCGATGGCTCGGCAAATGGAGACTGGAATTTTGAAAATGAACATCGCATACTGAGGTAGTGCTTGTACTACTGATTTAATGAGGACTTCCTTGCCCGCTTTCGATATCAGATTTTCCTTCCAACCTTCAAGCTTCTTGTTTACTCTCGCGGTAATCCAAGCAAACATCTGTTTTTTCGATTCCCCCCAATCAGATGGAATGCCTAAATATTTGCCCATTTTGTCTATCTCAGAGACTCTCAGTTGTTCTACCATATTTCTTCTTAAATTCTGTGGGCACTCCTTACTGAAAAAGATTCCCGACTTGTTTAAATTGATTGCTTGGCCTGAAGCAAAACAGTATTGGTTCAGAACTGAAGCAATATTTTGGCATTCAGTGATTGTTCCATCTAGAAAGAATATTGAGTCATCTGCGAATAACAAGTGGGATAAAGTGGGGCAGTTGTTGAAACGAATTCCTTTGATGTGTTCATCCCCCACGGCTTTGTTCATCAGCACAGACAGTACATTGGCAACCAATATAAACAGATAGGGGGATAACAGATCACCTTGTCGGATACCCCTCAAAGGTTGAAAGTAGGGCAATGGCTCTCTATTTAATTTAACACTGAAAGTCACCGTAGAAACACATTGCATTATCCAGTTTACCCATTTTGTGCAAAATCCAAATTTCAGCAAGCAAGCTTCCAGGAAATCCCACTCTATTCGATCGTAAACTTTTTTCATATCTAGTTTCAGCACCGCCTGGAACTTTCTCTTTCTCTTTCTCACCCTTAGTTGATGAAGCACCTCTTGGACAATTAGAATATTGTCTTGGATTTGTCGTCCACTAACAAAAGCACTTTGCTCTTCGCATATCAAATCTGGTAGCCAAGGCTTTAGTCTGTTAGCCAGGACTTTTGAGATGATTTTATAAATAAAATTGCACAAACTTATGGGACGATACTGTTCCGGTGTCTCCGGGTTAGGTACTTTGGGAATAAGGACAATATGAGTCTTGTTTAAAATTGGATTTAACATTCCGGACGTAAAGAAATTTTGCACCTCCTTGAATACATCATGCTGAACCTCTTCCCAAAAGTGTTGATAGAATTGCCTATTTAGTCCATCCGGCCCTGGTGCCTTAGTGGATCCCAACTGGAAAACTGCTGCCTTTACTTCCTCTAGTGTCACTTCAGTTGTTAGACAGCAGTTTATTTCTTCTCCAACCAAGTTGTGACAATTTTCTAACACTGGTTGAAAATTGCGAGAGCCCTCTGAAGTATAAAGGTTCTTAAAGAAATTCTCCGATGATTGCTTTAATTGATCAACATCTCGTATCCATTCCTCATTTTCAGATTTCAGCATTGTAATTCTGTTTCTCTGCCGTCTTTGTATGGTGGTAGCATGAAAATACCTTGTATTTTTGTCTCCCCACTTTAACCATTTTATTCTCAATCTTAATCCCCAGTACATTTCTTCCTGCCTCCACAATTTTTCGATTTCTTCCGTCAGCGATTGAACTCTTTGTCGAGCTTGTCCTCCACTTGAATGGTTTGTAAGTTGCTGGATTTCCTTCTTCAGGCTCTTGATTCGTTTATGAGCATTTGTGAACTTGCTTTTACTCCAGGCTTCTAGTTCACCAGAAACTTTTTGTATCTTTGTCAACAAATTCTGGTTTGTATCTTCTGCATTCAGCCAAGCATCCCTTACTATTTCCCCACATTCAAACTCTTCCAGCCAGAAAGCTTCAAACTTAAATTCCTTTCTCCTTTTTGCGTGTCCCGGGGATAGAGAAATTAATAGCGGGCTATGGTCGGACCCAATAGCCGGTAATGCATAAACCTCTGCTTCCGGGAAAGTGACTCTCCACTCCATAGAACATACCGCTCGATCTAGTCTTTCCTTCACATATGCATCCCCTTCCCTATTGTTAGCCCATGTATATGCACACCCTTTGCTCTCTAGGTCCATGAGGCAGCAAGAATCTAAGAAATCCTGAAAAGCCTTCATTCTGTAATTCTCCGCCATCCGCTTTCCAACTATTTCCCATAGGTAAAGAACTTCATTGAAATCCCCAGCACAAACCCATGGAAGGTTGTTGGAGTAACTTATCTGGTACAATTCTCCCCAAAGGTGAAGTCTTGCTTGAAAGTCATTTGGTGCATAAACAAAGGTGATACGCATTCTTCGCCTACTTGCTATCAGCTCCCCAACCACATCCACAAAATGTGGAGAGTGAGACTCCACTTTAATCGATATTCTATCGTCCCAAATGAGTGCCAACCCCCCTGCGATCCCTACTGGATTCACCACAAAAAAGTTCTGATACTGTAAACGTTGCTTTAAATGAAATACCACTTCTTCTTGGTTTTTTGTTTCCATTAAGAACAGCAAACTGGGCCTCTCCTCAGCCACTAGGGCTTGGATGGCTTGAATTGTCAAGGGTGTGCCCAACCCCTGACAATTCCAACACAGAAGTTTCATGTGTAACCCGGTGGCTTGTTTGTGCTAGCCACCAGAGCCCATTGTTCATTCCCTGATGCCAATTGGACAGGGGTATCAAGTAACTGGGTTTCGTCAAGTACCGACATGTTAGATTGTTGAGTATTGTAGGGTTTGTACCTCCTCGCTTTCTTGCCAACTGGACTTTTCTTTTCACAAAGCTTTTTCTTCTTATAGACTGGGACTATGGTCTTAATTGCCTCTGTTTGTGCAAGATTCGTGACAGAAGGTGCGATTACTTCAGTCATTTGGCTGTCCTGCACTTCAAAATTGTAATCTCCAGTAAGTGCCTCCTTTCCCTTCCTCACCTTGATGCTATTTGGTTGCTTCGGTTGGCTGGAGGTCCCTGGTTCATATAGCACCATCTGTCCTGGGTTTGCCAGAGTACCTGGGGCCTCTTCTTCTTCACTGCTAGCTTTATCCTTTCTCCCATAAAAAATCTTCCAGAAAGGGCTATTTTCTTGATCTTCGGATAGATTACCACGAAATTGGCTTTTGAACCCCCCTTCACCCCTCTTAGAGCTTCTTTGTTCTGAAGCAAATGAAGTGTATCCACGTACTTATCTCCAGTAATGAAAGTCGATTCCTTTTCTGACAAAAAAAAAAAGAATATGCTTCCTTGTACCAGCAGAAGAAGATTTCTTAAACAAGTCCAAGAAGGCAAGACCAAGAGTAGAAGACTTTGAGAAATTAAGTCTCCAAATAAATAAACACACATATATAAAGAGTGCAGGGGTCAAGTTCTAATAAGGTTGCTTCAGTGCAACGTTAAAGTTTAGTAGATTATGAGGATGGTTACTTGAATGTATTGATTCTTATAGCTTTTGTGTATTATGAGGTTATTATGTCCTATTTCCTTCCTATTTAATGTGAATAAAGTGATTTGGGCAGCTCATTCACCCCAGCATGATATGCTGCGGCCGGATGAGGTCGCCCAAACCCAGCAGGTGGTACAGTCATGGCTTTCACCTGCTGCTCCACCCTTTCTTTATCAGCCTTCAACGAAAGTTTCTCTGCTCGAAGCTCATTTCTCTCGGCCT